AGGAATTATTTAGAGGAGTGAATTTCAGAATTAATCTATTCATAGAAATGTACCAGATCACAGCTCAGAACTCATGTCATTTCTGCTCCCTCTCACCCCCATCCCCCCCCCAGTATCTGTTTCTCTTAGCATACATCTTTGCTAACAAGAGCTAAAATTATATTTTTAAGGAAATCAAAGATTCTCATCCTCATGTTATTTTAGCAGCTGGTGTTTCTGGCATTGGGCTCACACAAGAAATCTCTGGCTCTGAACTAGGATCTCGAGAGACTTAAAACAGTTCCCTGGCCACTAGGCCTGTCTCTCCCTCAGCAGAGTAGTTGGTAGTTGTTGTTTTCCTAAAGTAAAAACTCTCAAAACAAATTGCATTTCCAGAGGATAATTTTCAGAGGGGGGGAGGGGTGGGTGTTGTTTGTTCCGTTTTTACTGAAACTTTCACAGTTTTAAAACTTTTGCCCTGATCTTTCGAAGCTCAGAGGAAGTTTTTCATAGTAGGTAGAAAGAGAAATCCCAGGTATCGGTTAATAATAGGGTTGTGGGTGAAGCATGGGCACCTTGCTGTTTGCTTTCATGTCTTAGTTTTTCCTTTGTGTTTTTAGTTTGTTGTTTTGGGTTTTTTTTGTTTTTTTTTTTTTTTAAATAACCCTCCCATAACTTTGCAAACATTTCTCTGTGCTGCTTTTTTTTGTGGGGAACCAGATTTTTCTTTGCACTCATATGTTTTTCCAATTGAAATAGGACAGCACCCATAATCACCCAGCAATCAAGGCATTCTCAACAGCATGCTAGGAGCCTAAAGCTCAGAAATTCAGGTCAGAAATAAGGGAAAGCTTTTAATTTCCTTTACTAAACACATGCAAGTATATGTCTGGTGCTGAGCCGTTTTCTTTGGTCTTATATATGCCTTACATACTTTCTCTCTACTCACTTGAATAAATTTAGAGGAACAGCAGCTAAATACACTTCTTTGTGTCTATGTTGCCATCCCTTTTTGAAACTGAGGTTGGAGCAAATATGTTAGTAAGGTCACAAAATGCCTTTTGTGAGCATGTATAAGCTTGCATAAGCTTCCTTTCTTGAAAATGATTTTACCTTGACAAGTTGACTTTATAACATAGTTGTCTGTGTATTTTTGTGGTTAAAGAATTGGTTATCTTTTTTAAGATCTGGCTTGTCACAGGTGTTTCATGAAGGTGGTGGAATTCACTTTCCAGGGCACAGAAACATGCCAGCACTGTCTTTCCATGCTGCTGCTGAGATTAGTGAATTTATCATCTTCTTTCTGCAAACTTACACTCCTGATCTCACAGAAAGAGCAGTGACATGTTATTCCTGCAGTGGGTTAAATTTCATAGGAATTTGTTCTTCTTAAACTTGCAGATACTGTGAACTCTGAGAGACAAAGTTAATTTTAGTATCCTAATGCCTTGAAACTGATACTTATGGGTACATAAATCTGTTAGCCTGGTCACAACAGAGCATGAAGTCAACTATTAGTGTCACATGCAACATGGTTTTGCGTATGGCCAAAATTGCATGAGGGTACAATTAAATGATGTCAGTTTAGATCAGGGACTTTGCTAAGCAGATAGCCTTTAGAGCTATTGTGGTTTTTAAACATCAGGTTAATTGAGAACTGCTGTATATTTAATAGGGGGCCTTTGGGATATGACTACAAGGACTTTTTGTTGTTCAGCAGTACATTAGGCAGAAACTCCAGTTCTGAAATGGTCATAGAAATCCCAGGAGGCATAACTTTTAATGGGACACTAAACTCCAATTAAGGTCATGGCTGAAAATACCAAGGTGAAAAACATGGTCCTTAGCACCCATCCCAGAGAATCTCTCTGATCTAGCTGCTTGATTTCAGCTGCAGAAACATAATTGCAAGTAAGAAAATGTTTTTTATGAAAACCCCCATACTCCATGTTGTCTGGAATATAAATAGGAAAAAAAAAACAAAGCCAAAAGGTCTTTCAAATTAAATTCACCAACTCCCCCCAAACAAGACTAGAAAGGCAAGATAGCTGCATCACACCTGCAAGTCCTGACCCCTTTCACCTTTGTAAGAGGTAACATTTGTAGTCCAGCCGTCTAAACTTCATCTTACACGTTTACTCTTAAATCGAGCATCTCCAGAACTCCATATCCTAGAAATTATGACGGCCTTTCCCCTATGACCCTGTTTAAGTTTTGTTCCTGTTTTTTGATTTCTCCAAGTTCCATGAGACACAACTACCCAGTTTAGCCAGTGTGTTAGTTACTTTCTAAATGAGTTAATGGGTCTTATGGCCTGCTTCTGGTCAAATAGTGCGTCTGATAGTCCCAGATTTTCTGGAAAACCATAAATACACATTTTCAAGAACACTGGGTCCTGAGAGTCCTGTTGAGAATCCAGCATGACTGCTATCTTTTGGAAATTTTAACCTGTATAACTTCAAAGAATCTTTGCAGTTAAATTACTAAGTAAATAATTTGTGGCTACATATTAATACTATCCACTGTCTTAATCTGCTTATAATAAAAAACTTTCCCTAAATGCACACAGAGATAACATAGTTGTTTTCCAGCTACACAGAACAAATGGGATGTTAATTAATATGGCACTATGGAATTCAGTTTAGTGAAGTATCAGAAAAAAGGAAATTAATTTCAATCATTGATAAACTTGTCAACTTAGTAGTATTGATTTTTTGATACCTTTACAGCACATGGCAAAGTTCATACATTGTAAAATACATCATTATTATTGGCTGAGTCTGCTGGATGTAAGTGGACTGTTATTTTTTTCAATAAATTGACATTATTTAAGTGTATGGAAATGCAAAATTATGTAAGTGGCTTTTATTACTATTTTTAATACAATACCAATTTACCATCTTTAATGGGGATTCTCAATCAGGGAGTTATTTCCCAATGCCTAAATGCCATCTGGCCTTAGAGCAACCTGAAAGCCACAGTTTCTTGGGTTGTCAGAGTTTAGCAGAAGAAAAGCAGGTGAAGCTGACCAGTAGAAGATGTTGGCTGTGAGCTTGCTGGCGGGAGCTGGTATTCTTTAGAGGCTTTGGGGCCCCCTGAGATTGGTGTAATTGCTGGCCCCTGGGATGGGAGATGCTGCTAGAACAGGATCCTTCTCTAGTCGGCTCCTTCTGGGCTGTGGTGTCAAGCCAAACAACAAAGAAAAGCCCTCTCTTAAAGAGCACAGATCAATCGCACAATGCTCTGTTTCTGCAGTGTTTTAGAAGTCGATGTCCAACACTGTGTTTTGCTTTTGTCAGACTTCCGTGATGGGAAATCAAAAAGCAGTTGTTGTTTTGTTGAGTCCAACTGTAACAAAAATAAATTGAAGGTGTTCTGATTAAGTTTCTGATTTTGGACTGTCTCTTCAGAGCACATAGAACAGCAGAAAACCTACAATTGCCTTCTGCTTATAAGTTTCCTGCTTTGTAAATGCAATACTCTCATATTCCCACCTGAGGTCATTAGCCACAAGGTAGGTTTAAAAAAATTTGAAGGATGAATATAGCTGCATACAAACCCCGGCAATCTGCAATCTGTTTGTGCTGATGCTTCTGAAATTCACTGTGTTGCTCTGTTAAATCTCATGACTACAGAACGTAGTGCTTGTCTAAATTTTCAGATAGAATTTTTATACTGAGGAGTGTCTGTAATAGGGGGAGAGTGTATTTTTGATGAAATGCAATTGCTTTGCATTTTGGCATATGAGACAGGGAGTAAGTAATAGCTGAGTTTTGGGTTAGTTTTTTTTTCTTTATTCTTTTTTTTTTTTTTTTTTTTTTTCCTTCGGAGTGTCCCTAAACATTGTTTCGATGTCAGCAAAATATACATGATCTTCTAAGACATCAGTAACATGGGGAGGGGGGGTGGAAATAATTAAAAAAAACCCAACAAGCCTAAACACTTCAGGGTGGAAATATTTTTTGCAACTTTAAATATGTACAATAATGCAACCAATATCCCCTATAGGACAATGCATTTAGTTTTCTGTAAGAACTATTTGGTGAATTTTGGTCCTTCAGGCAATTGCAATCTTTCTACACACAACACAGTGATTCAAAAAATCAGAATACATATTTCTGCAGAATTCAATTTTGGGGCATTCTCTTTTGCTCAACATTTAAATTTGCCTATATTTGCCATGGAATTATTACTGCTTTTCCATTGAAAAATTAGGGGTTTCAGTCAAAAATATCAGCAAAGAAATAAACTCTGATAGAATTCCTACATCAAGACCCACTTACATCAGCTGAAATTTAGGCCACCTCTACCTGTGGTCAGTCTGCAGTGTGACAGTGGTGCATCCTTTTTTGTTTCTCCAAAATATTTACTGACTTCAGGGCTGGAATTTCAAAGCTGCTCTGTGTGATCAGCCAATGTTAAGTCCACTGACTCAGGGTGGAGTTGGACAGTTAGTTCCTCATTAGAGTCCTGTCCTAACAATTTCTTCATAATGTTGAAGGTGGCAAAATTTAAGGATATGAATTAGAGGAAGTTTGTACTTTATTGACAGCAAATATAAAGAGAGAAACTGAGGCAAAAATGGGCAGTGACTTGTGCCATCTTTTTGCACATGCTGAGGGTAAGATATTATCCACTTTCAGTCCTGGACTTACAGTGTTTTTGCCAAGATAATGTGCAATGCTATATTTTATCCTTAATAAGGGAAAATATTTGCTGTCTCATTCCTCAGTTGGGCATTCAGATTTAACTGTAACAGGAGTAGAGGCAGCAGTTTCCTTAGTTGCCACAGCTAAATTTGGCAAGGATCATGAATCTGAGCCCTGAGGTGACATAATTTTCCAAGAGGCAAGAACTGCTGGGGGGGTGATTATTTCTTTGCTGCGGTGTGAATTGCTGCTTTTGTGTGTTAATACAATTAGTCAGTCCAAGGACATAATCTGTCTGTTGACCCATATAGCAGATTGGGCTCCAGGTCATCAGATGTTACTTAATTATGAGGCTCTAATTATCTCCCTCAGTTTTCCTTTCAGGACAATAAGGACAGGGATACCTCTCAGGAATGTTGTGAGAATTAGTTAACGTTTGCAAGGAGCCTTGAAGACAAAATGTTGGGTGAGTATGTGGGCCTGGATTGCTGGTGACTTTTTGTGCCTGACTCGCACTGAAGCAACTGCTTCAGCATTAGTCACCAGCTAAGGACGGAAAAAAAAGAGAACTGATTCAGTCTTTTCCCGTGGATCTCTTATGACAGACCTTCAGGTGCTATGCAGCTTTCTGGAGTGGCAAAAAGACTAAAGCTTTGTTTCTTTTCTTCACAAATAGTGGAGAGAAGAGGAGAAGGAAAGCCAGTTGGGTTCTCTTGTATGATTGGTGATGTTAAGACCAGGGCAGATTTTGGCCTGTAAGATTTAAGCACTGCTTTTAAAATCTGCCCAACAATTTTGTTAGCTGATCCTGGGGCTGTTGTGCTGCAGGGGATACAAACCTAAGATGGCACCCTGGCAAGCTTTTCAGCAAGTCCTAGCTAGTGCATCAGGGACTCATGCAGAGACAGGATGAAGTTTGCTGGCAGGATCAGGGCCGAGACAGTTTAAAAGCCTCAGAAAAAGTGTGTGTGGAAGGGTACAATCAACTATTCATGACTGAAATGTGTACATGTGAAACAATGCTCAGTAACTGAGGCATACAGAAACTGAATGCCTGCTACTTCAGCCAGCTATTAAACATAGCCACAAAACAGTCAGCAGAGCAATGTCATCTAGACCACTTTGACACAATTGCATTGTACAATTAACAGGCAATGAAGGACTTCCTGAAAGCACATGTTCGACACCCTGCTTTTTCATGGGTTTTTGTACTGTTGCAGGGATTAAAAAAAAATTTAAATTAACTTTGTGCCAATGCATATTATATTTGGACAAGGGACTAGATGAATGATTAGAATAATAGCCTTAGAAAAGATCACATTTCCCTACTGTGCCAATGTATTTGACTGCATACGGCAACCCTTTTAGGCCACTGCTCACAGTGAATTGTAACAACTTCCTGCAAAGATCTAAGTCTTATATCTTTTGAATGGGAAATTATTTGAACTAGGTCAAGTCTAAGAAGAAATAACCATCTTTATCAATCAGAAATAACCATCTTTATTAATGTGAACTACCCTAAAAGTGCTCTGCAAGCAAAATACAATTCACCTGATCCTAATTGCCATCCCTCAACAAAGAAGGAATGCTTCCTGTATGATTCCTAAACACTACAGGTAAACTGCCACCCGACCTAAAGGAATCTCTTGGGGATTATCTGTGAGTTCATCATCAGTTCTTTACTTTGAAATCAACTGAGAAATGGAAGGTACAAAATCTTGAAGAAAAAACATTTAGCAATATTTACATATAGATTTTCCTAAAAAGCGTTTTGTAGAAGTGGGCAAGGAGTATCATTATAAGATTCAGAACAACTGAGGCAACCCGTAATATACAAAATATGTAGGTACATTTTGCTAACAAGCATCTCCTTTATTTGACTAAACTGTTCCTATAGCTCTCCAATGTGTTTTGTAATCATAATACTAATACTTACTGCTTTTATGTCAGAACCGTTTCAGAGGGCAGGAGCTCTAACACTCATGTCAGGCCATGAAGGCAAGTTGCCTGTGATCATCTTGTATTTATTGCCTGCTTTTTCACCCCCTTTGCCCCAGCAGATCCTTTCCTTATCTTCCTTTTCACTTAAACTGCCCGAGTGTCTTCATTGTGGCTTTTGTGGCATTTTACTTCTGCTGTACAATGTTTATGAGTACCTTGATTTGTTAAAAAGAGCAAGTTTTTCAAAGGAACCCAAGAAAAAACATAATTTTAGTTGTAGTTTTGTAGGATTAGTTACCTAGTTCCCTCAGAATTCTTTGAAAATCTTAGGCAATAGAAAAACTGAATTCAGATGATCCATATGTTCCCTTCCAACTCAGATAACTGTGACAGGCCACCTATAATGGAATGACTCCTACTTAGAATAACATTTGCTGAAACTATATTGCTCACTATTAACTATCCATGTGGTTTCTTGGAAGCTCACAGAAGCTTCCTTTAGGAAGTTAAGATAAAACACAGGGTAAATGCACTGGGTGCTTTGGTGAGGAGTTATCGTGTCATATGCTAAGATTGATCAAGCTAGCCACTTCTATAAGGCTGCCCATTTCTCCAAGCTGTATGCTCAGAGTATTTTGCCAAAACATATACAGCTTGTTTTTAAAGAGGGAGGTTATTTTGGTGTGGGTTTCTTTCTGGTTGTGGGGGTTTTGTGGTTTCTTTTTTTTTTAAGAAATCAGTTTACACTAAATATCAACTGAAACCAGCGAACAGTTAGAAAATACTGGTGTATTTGTATAGCATTTCCAGCCAAGCAGAACATCAAGACTGTACTTAGGTACAATAAACACACACACATTCACAGGCACACACACAAAAAAAGATTTTTGTTTTAAAATAATCTTCATTACATGAGGATTATCATAATTGTCATTTCAATTGACTGATTTTAGTCTTTAAAAGAGGGTATAATAGCATTCACTGTCTGAGACTGAATTACTGTCATTATGTTAAAGGTGCACTTTATCACTTAGCTTTTCTCCATTATAAATGCTCATAGATGCACACCGCTTTCTGCTGCTACAAAACCTTCAAAACATAATATGACAAAGTTTTGTATCCAGACATTTCATTACTAAAACTTCAGAACAAAGGACTTCCAAAGGCAATCTGCTATTGCTAATATAACGACATTACCAAAAGATCGAGAGGATATTTTACCTATAGTAAGTTTCTGAATTCCTGCAGAAGAATGCAAACTGTTCTTTGAGATAAAAAGGTATTTTGTGTAACTTTTGCCAGGAGGGAAGATGAGTTGCTCTTCTGCTCAGAGCAAACTTACTAAGATATGAGCAGATCAAGCAAATATCAGCCCAAATGAGAGAAATAGCCATGCCATACTATCCCAGACTTCTCAAAATTTTCCCAGTGATGTGTAGATTAAAATCCAGACGTTGCCATGATGTTAATCTGCCAGTGTATAAATGACATTTATCACTTCTGCAGTCTCTTCTGATCTGGTATCTTAAGACTGTTCATATGAAAAAGTTCTCAACACATTGCCCTGTCATCTTGATACATATGGGACATCTTTTACTTCTGCAGGCACAGAAGAACCAAGTCTGGATATGTCACTACGGCACAACACTTGGGCAGATCTCTGTTGAAGTAAATGTCACTATGCCTGAAGTAAGAGGCTATAGAGAGGCATAAAGGTATAAACATCAGATCTAGAGAGATCAAGGACAAGAATTTGCCTGAGGAGCAAACCTTTTTCTTTAGGGTAAGAAGGGAGCTTTAACTCTGAGATACTCAGAAAGGGACAATTTAATGACTTGTTTTCAGAGGCTGTGGTCAGCACAAGGACTAATTAGAAAGTGCTACTTGAAGAATGAAGTAAAGGATTAAGTACACCAAAACACTTTTAAAAACTTGGCCTAAGTGCAGAGCACTAGAGAGCCATGTGACTTTTCTTGTAGTTGGCAGCACTTCAGCAGTCTTCTCCTGGACCATACAGCTTTTAAAGGTGATCCCAGGACCTCTGTTTTTTGGTTCTCTGTGTGCTATTATTGGGCACCTGAACTTTGGGAAATTGATGCCTGTCTTTTGAAAATCATAGTATTAGGGGAGGTTTGAAACTTGTCACCCTAGTCACTTCTGAACATTTTAGCCTACATTCTCTCTCTCACCCCTATATGGGATTTTTTTCTGTTGTAGATTTCTTCCTCCTTCACAGTGATTATTAACAGATTTTTCTAAAGTGCCCAAAGCAGCATGCTTAGGTCAGAAAACAGAAGCTAGTGTGTTATTTTATCTGCCAGCTTCCTCCCTTAGTTATCATGTAACATTTCCCTTATGTAAACCCGGGTTATGAACAGGTCTGGTTCCATCATTGCTTTGTGGGGCAATCGGTAAGTTCTTGCCTAGAAACTTATTTACAGCACAAAAATTTGAGACAGAGATATATTCCCTTATTTCATTTTTTTTTTTAATCAAATGACTTTATAGAGAAAGTATTCATGCGCATTTAGAAATATCTGTCATAAGAAGAGTTTGTGGCATTATATGAAATATTTCTCTAGTGATTTTTTTAAAATGTTCAATAATTGGGCTATGAAATATATATAAAAATAATAGTCTATCTGTATTGAAGACACTTAGAGAAATAATACTGGAGTGAACTGAGTTGTTAGGTGGATAGATAGGTATTTTTCTTTAGATTATATGAATAAAATTAAGAAAAAAAATTCCTCTGTCAAGGACTTTTAGTGTATGCCACATTTAGCTCAGCTAACCCTGTGGTTAAGTGAACATTGTATGGTTAGGAGTTTGAAAGCAGTCAGGGAAGGGTTCAGGTGTTGGCACACTGAACCAGACTACAGTGCCTGAACCTGAAAAATGAGGATGGAAACCTTGCTAGAGGCTTTTCACAATGAGTGGTGATGCTGCCAGCCCTTTGTGGGCATTTAACACAACTTCTTAAAATTTTAAAAACCTTTTAATTTTTTTTGGGTTTTTTGTTTGTTTGTTTTTTTTTGGGGGGGTGGGTTTGAGGGGGATGGGGTGTGAAAAGAGGTCAGGGTGGGGGTTTGCCATTCCAGGAAATCACAGTTATAGAATAAGCAAGTAAAGGCAAACCTCAGCTTAGATAAGATTTCTGATACTTCAGAAAGATATTTGTATGAAATGTTGTTACAGGATTTGCAGAGGAGATTTTCCTTTTATCTAAATCTGATCCTCTACCAAATTACCAAATTTTTGACAACAAATGAAGCTTTCTTACTAGAGAGAGAAGTAACCATTCTGGATTCTGTTTTTCAAAAAAGTTACCTGGAACTGACCCTCAGATTTTTCTGTATTTATCCAGGGAAAATTAATTTAATCTTCAATGACTAGTGAGCTGTAGTTCTCAGTTGAGTAAGAAAAGTTTGGGAATGCTAAAGCACATCTGGTAATTGGAAAGATGAAAAAGGTAATAATAAAGTACTCATTTTGAGGCACCAATGATGAAGATAATGGATGATAGCCAAGCAGGCCATATGCACTTGGCTAACAGAATTAATCATGGACTATGCAATGCAAAACAAGAAAGACAAGTACAATAAAACATTTAAAGACAAGAATGGATTTTAATTTTAGGAGCAGTATAAACCAATATGATAATAATGATAGCCAAGTTAGCCCTGTGATTATACAATCCAAACAGGACACAAATTAAAGCTATAAATAATATTTAATCTGCAATACCAATATATGTTAAAAAGTAATAATGACTAAAAATTGTTAGAATTAATCAAATGACGAGTGATGTTTCTAGTATATTCAGAAGGGCTAAGGCAATCCTGAAACTGTCAGGTATGAAATCAGGATTGGAAAAGGAAAATGAATATTAGACGTTTCTAACGTGCTTTAACAATGTCTGAGAATGTGAGCTAGTTCTTAGATTTCAATTAATAAAGGAAGACTTATTATTAGAGCCCTGTGACTAGCAGTGTAAAATTCTCATAAAGCAATTTTGTAAATATCCCATCTTGAAGCCATTTTGTAGCATCATCTGTCACTAAGCCTCCAGCTACGGCACCTAAGGGATCATGTTTTCTGTCGCTTGCTGTTACATTTTTCTGTTGCATTTCTATATACTTGTATTTTAAATCATCCAAATAGTTTGTGTGTAACAAGCCCTCACCAAAGTATGGGCACTGTTTGTTAAGGAATTTCAGGGGAATCTGAAAGGCTTTTTGCTGGGCTAGAAGAAACTAATGAGAGGTGGCTGAGCACCTTTTCCTCCCCTTGAAACACAGTATCCTTTGGCCTTTACTGAGCAGAAACAATAATCATACTGATACTCATAAAAAGTACAGCAGAATAACAAGTACTCTCTGGTAGTAACACTAAGATGAGAGACTGCTGTATAGCTTTTTGAGTTGCATCACAAGGTTTCTTAGATCCGTAATACAAGGTGCAAAAAAACCTTATGATCAGAAATGAGTTACTATTAATTTGAACAGTATCAGGTATGATTATGGCTGTGTTCTAAGCAGTCAGATGCATTTAAAAAAGAGGATGAATACTTAAATGCAGGAACAAAGAAAGCTGAAGAATCTTGGAAGTTAGGAGTAATTACTGATGTGAATAAAAATAATAACAAAAAAGTAATAACCACAAACAATGAAAGGGGAGGTTGACAGTCAAGTTACATCAATGTATTTGTATGACAGGGTAACACCATTTCAGATGTAAAAAGAAGGACGGAACACAAATGCTGCTAGAAATACTGTTTCTATCTCTATAAACAGAATAATACTGTGCTTAATACAATGGTGGAACTTGACAGTACAAAAGGTATTTCTTGTGTTTTTTTATTTGTTTCCAGTGCTTTGTCTAATCATATTGTGCATGCATATCTTTAAGACCTAAAATTTTAAACAACCTAAGTTTTGCAAACACAAAGGATCATGCTAAACACGAGTGAGCTCTTACTTCTAATGAAGAAGATTAATCTGATGATTTATATTTACGATAGCATTTTTTTCTTTTTTCCTTTTTTTTTTTTTAAGGTCAGGTTTATGCTAGAGGTATGTGTGTGCATGTTTATGGAAGTTTGTGCTTATTCAACTGGTCAAATTGCTTTTTGCATCCCTGACTATTGCCTTTGATTGTTGTGGATTCTCTGGATTATGGTGAGGGCAAAGATGATCAGCTGGAGACAGCTCACAGTTGAACTTGGGCAGGAAGCCAGCCATGTTGTCAGCAGATGTTTTGCGGTATGTGGGTCACTAGGAATAATTTAAATTGAAGTCTTTTTTTTTTTTTTTTTTTTTCCAGCACTGTAAAGACCCTGAAGCTGACAACTAGAAGCACAGCACTTCTACCCCAAAACTATTTGTTATTTAAATTCAGTAGATTGTTAGCCTCCTTTGGGATTTCTGTAGCAAGCTGAACAACTGTTGTGTCAGAAAGGTGCACATGGTGTGTGTGCTGCTCTGCCATGGTAGCACACTGACCTGGATTGAAAACATTTACATTTGCTTAAAAGAGGCTTGGGGTTGCATAAACCCAAGTGGCAACATATTCATATGGACCTGAAATTTTTGCTTACCTTCTCATGATCTCAGTCTCTTCTACTGGAAACTAATTCATCTGATTTATCAGCCAGGTCCTGTTGCAACAGCTTGCAAACGTGACACAAGCATTTTGAGAAACCCTCTTCTGTCTTTCATGCCCACCCTCCCTTATGCACCCATTTGTCTCAGGAACATACATACATTCATACATATTTATGTGAATACACACATACATATCTATGTAGATCTTTTTCTGGGTGTGTTGCCTAGATGTGGTAATGGTGGGAAATAGGAGGGAAGTTCTCTTTGCAACTGGTGTCCCAGGCCTTTGAAGAAGATATGCTTATATCCTCTTTCCAGTTTACTAAGACCAAGGGCTGGGTATGAAAAATCTAAATCACACAGTCTTTGGCTACAGATAATAATTATTTCCGTCTTGCTCACTTGGATCCCTTCCCTTTTTTTGGACTAATGCTTGGGACAGAGTCACCCTGAGGCTGGACCCTCTAATAAAGGGCCAAATAATAGTTGTGACAGTGACTTTGAGTGAATTACTGAATCCTTTCATCATGTAATTTTATGTTGTGCAAAATTTGGCTAATGGTAGTAAACAATTGCAAATGCAAAGTATTATTAGGCATAGGTGGAGTCTGAACTAGGATTTATTGTGTTCCTTGTAGTAGTAGCTGTTGGCCAGCCCATTGGCCAGCTGTCCAGCTGTTGGCCAGCTCCATACTCCAGCTTCATTTTCCTGCAGCAGCTGGATGAACTGTGCAGTAAGGGTGATTTTCATGTTGTCACAAGTGCTTCGCTATGAGCGAATTGTTTGTTTCTTGAAGCTGCTTCTTAACTCCTTGGACAGGTAAATTGCCTCTACCAACATGCTCAGTAGTTTTTTTGTTGGTTTTCCCAACTCTTCAATAAGATAAAAAGAAATTTAATTTCAAACCTCATATTTTTCTTCTATTATAAACAATTAAATGCACGCTCATGAAGGAGGTGTAGGAAAGACGCAGTGATTTGTACTGAAGTTTTTTGTAAAACGAGAAACGAGTCTTGAAGGAAATTGTGTTTCTTGGAGGCTTTTTCACAAGCTCATTCCATACAGGATCGTCCCTCCTGGGTTTTATCAGCATAAAATGTTTAGACTGACACTGTGGCCATTAGCTGAGAAACAGGTTTTAGTGTCAACACATACGTGATCCTGCCTATTCCATGCTCTGAAATAGATGGAGATGGCAGCTGCTTTGGTAGCATCACACCACTGGGTCTTGGGATCCAGGGAGCTGCTCCAGCATGATGCGTGGCAGGCTGAGGCCCAGGTGGTAACAGTCATTGTGTCATGGCTGTGACACCACTGCATGTAAGTGGTGAACACTCTGTATGAAACTTGCCTTGGCAATAGCAGCACTGAAAAAATTAAAATCCCCTATCCCTGGGATGAAAAAACAGTTTATATTGGTAAGAACTCTAGCAGCT